CGTGTGTCTGTGTCTGTGTGTGTGTGTGTGTCTGTGTGTCTGTAATTCTCCAAACAACTCTATGATGCACAAAACCTCATCTAATGTTATTGATACCTGTATGTCACTGTGGGAGAAGCTGAGGCATAGAGATGAGAGTTACCACTGGATTCTGAGATTTCCCCCAGTACTGCATTGGCTTAGTGATTGAAGGTCCTCAGAGGTAGAAATGACAGCCAACTGTGACACTAACACCACCATGGTTTTCTTTCAGGAGGTATAAACTTGACCCCAAAAGACCCCCGATGGGTGGGTGCCTGGTGGCTAGGCTTCCTCATCTCTGTTGGACTGGTGGTACTGGCTGCCATCCCCTACTTCTTCTTCCCCAAGGAGATGCCCAAGGAGAAACATGAGCTTCGATTAAGGCGGAAGGTCTTGGCTGGTACAGCCTCCACTGTCAACAAGGTAAGTGCCCTCCACGTAGTGGCCCTAGCTCAGGCTCCAGAACCCACCATAATACTTCCTAACAGAGGCTCCATGCTTCCTGAGCAAGCTCCACTGCCTCCTCCCAACAGGCATGCACAGTGACCATCATGGGCCCTTCCATGATCCAGGAGATGTGGGGCCAGAGGTTGAATGAAGTGAGCAAGTTCAGTGAGCAAGCCATGGAGTCCTGTAGTGAGAGCACAGGCTTACTGGGGCTCACATCCTTCAGTGTTGGTCACTTAGAAATTCTGGAAAATCTGGCCATGTTGGGAGATGCTAAGAAGTGGAGGTTGTCAAGCTTGGGTCTAGGAAGAGTTCCTGAGAGAGGAGGGATTTGACCTGGACATAGGAGGACACAGGCAAGAACAGAGCGGAGAGCCGTGGGATGATGGGTGCAAACAGCCTCCACATAGGGTTCCACAGTAGGCATGAACCTGGCCTTTCCAGGCACAGTGATAGGGCTAAGAGCACAGTGAGCACTCTGGGCTAGGCTGGTGAGAGACCTTGTCCAAGGTCATACAACTGAAAGAGAGGCCAGGAACTATGAGCCATAGGGCAGGATAGATGATTCTAAGCCAAGGACTCTGATTTTTCCAAGAATTCACAAAAATATGAGGCCTAAAAGACAGTAAGTTGATTCCAAATAAAAAAAATTACAAAAAACACCTCCCCCTAATACTGGGGTCTGACCCTCTCAGGCCTTGCACATAGGGACTCTACCTCTAAGCTATGTATGTCTGTCTGGCCCTGGGAACAAGTTTTAAAAGTTTATTTTGACAATATAATTTCAATTTTATTAATATTTTAAGACATACATACTTGACTATATTCAGAAGCTTTGTACATTATGCTTTCTCTTTTCCCAAGCTTGTGAGGTGCTTGTTAAAATCTCAAATGTATAAATGAAGTATGGTGCTTGCAAAATAACAGTTCATCCAAATCTTGCTGAATATTCTGCAGCACGAGGAATTCTGCTTTCTGTGGCGGCCTGGGACTTTGCTTCTGAGAGTGTTTACTGCTGTGTGGGGGAGGGCCTCCTCAGAACAAGACAGTTCGACTTAAGAAGTGGGCCTGATTAAAAAGGGGACTACCTTTTTAAATTGAGGGTCAATTTATAGAAGGAGAGTTCAAGTCTATCTAAGCCAAGGTCCATCTGCCCTGCTGAGCCTCGTCAACCACCTCACCACAGGGCCAAGACAGCTCAGGTTAGGACAGCTGGCGGGGGCCAGAATCACACAACCTTTGCTGCCTTCAAGACCCCTGGGTACCCCTGGAGGGACAGGAAGCAAAGACCTCCAGCTGCTTTACCAGGTGCTGTGTGTGTAAGGACTGAAGGCCAGGAAAAGCCTTAAAGAGAGGCCAGTGATGCCATGATGGCCATGATGGGAGCCGGTGGCAGAGCACCAAGGGGCCAGGAAGAAGATGGACATAGGCTCTGCTGCTCTGGGACGGACTTGCCCAGAAGTGGTGCTGCTCTGCACTGCTGATTCCCAGACATAGTGAATGTCTGGGCTGGCAGTTCCCGTGCTGGCTCAGAGGCAGGGGGAGGGCATTTCAGCAGAAAATGAGAGCTTGGAACCTCAGTTCTAGCTAGCTTGGCCTAGCTCAGGCCAAGAATTCAAATTCCCAGAACCTGGAGAGGAGTCCTTGGAGTTATGAGTTGGGAGGACAAGAGACTGTGTGGCTGATGACAGACACTCTGAGTTGAACCCTATATTTGAACAGAGAACAATAGGAGTGGGTGGCTGTCTGCTGTCACAGGTCAGCCATGTACTTTTGCAGCAAGTCACTTCTCTATGCTTGCTGTGGTATGTGGTGAGTCTAAGGAGCAGAGGTCAGATTGCTAGAGCACTACCCAGTTGCCTTGGGTTCTCAGAATGTGCAGTCCCAGCAGCTGTGGTCCCTGGAGTTGGCTTAGAGAGCTCTGTGCCATGAAACCTTGTGACGCTGGTCCTGATTGTGTGCCTGCCTGGCTGGCTCCATCTACCCTGTCAGCTTGTGGCGTTCTGAGAGGCGAGGAGCTGAGAGGTCTTAAGGAAATATTGCAGGCTGAGAACATGGTGATCTGCTTCCAGCAGCTCTTGGGCAATAAATATTGATGCAGGAGGAATCGATCCTCTGCCTCCACCTCCTCAAGGCTGCCAGGGCTGGCCAGGCTGCTTGCAGTAAGATTGGCTGGCCTGGCCCTTTAGGGTCACTAGTGAAGAGCCTGGAGGAGGATAAGGGGTCCCACTGGGTGAGGCCCACCACACTGAACTCCTCTGGAGACAAGAGGTGGTATATGAAATGCAAAGGGCAAGCACAGGCTCCCATAGCAACTCACAGCACAGGCAGCTCTCTGAAGCCTGGCCCTGTGGTCCTTCCTAACACCCAAGTGGAGACCCCACCCTGCGGTAGGTAAAGGCTGGTCTGGACACAGGGGCAAAGGACTCCACTCTGCAGTAGGTTAAGGCTGGTCTGGACTGGCTGGTCTGGAGTGGCTGATAGTTCCTGCCTGTGTCTCTCCTGCAGGGAGGGGGATGGGTAAGAAGGAAGCAGTCAAAGCCAGTCTGTTTGGGAAACCTTTTCAAGCATCTTCTCCTAGACTTAGGGCTCAGGGACTCCCTAAGTACCCTAAAGGTAAATGCAGACATTAAAGGTATCTGAGAGACTGTGGTACATAAGCCAAGGCTGGTCTGATCATGAGAGGGTCTAGCCTGTGTCTAACAGGTGGGCAGTGGATTTGACAATAATTTTCAGATCTACAGCCTGAAGCTATGTCCTCTAATTGGCTCCATGTCACTGGGTTGTGACTCCTTACACCTGCGCTGATGAGTGGAGGACTGTCAGGTGTGGGGAGATGGGTTCCTGGATGTTAGCTCAGGGATGAGGGCTCGGCAGGGTCTTTGGAGCAAAAATGCCTCTTAAGGGCTGTCTGACAGATTGCTGGATGCATTTCCCCTTGGGTAGTGGTGTCCGAATTCACAGCACTCCCCAGTGTTCACAGGTCCCTCAGAGAACCTGTTCTTGAGGCTGAGCCAGGAACTGGAAAGGGGTCTGGCCACCTGCCTCCTTTCCTGGTAGGCCTCTTACCTCTTGCATCAAGGATCCTGGCCATGCCCAGACTCTGAGTGCCATTGGGTGCTATGGCCTTCTTTTGGGTCGTATTTCCAAGATATCTGTGTGTTATTCCTTCAATAATTCTGAGTTTAGAATCCCAAATGTATAGTCTTAGTGTTCTGGGTTTTGTGTCTGCTGTTGACTGGTTGGGGTCTTATTTTGTAGGCACTGGGAGCTCAATCTGGGCTAACCTAAAACTTACTGTGTAGCCCAGGCTGATCTCAAACTCATAGTGATCCTTCTGCCTCACCCTCCCAAGTGCTGAACTGAGAAGTATGAGCTACTACAACCAGGTAAAGTTCTAATTTCTAATAGCTGGGGATTTTCAAGTCCTTGTCTTCTAAAATCAGAGAACTCTGTGTGAATGTGTGTATGTGTGCCTGCGCATTCATGTGTATTGCATGTGCACCTGTGCATCTGCGTGTACCTGTGCAAGCATGTGTGTGCACTAGTGCATGCCGGTGTGTGCACACGCACATGTGTTTGTATGTGTGTGCAGATGTGGATACATGTGTATGTGCATGCCTGTGTAGACCAGAGGACAACCTTCTAAGGTCTTTCTTTAGTGTTTGAGATAGGATCTCTGTGGCTAGGGGACCAGACCAGAAAGCCCTAGGTACCTGCCTATCTCTACCTCCTCTGTGCTGGGACTACAAGTCTGGGCCATTGCACCCAACATTTTTACATGAATTCTGGGCATCAAACCAAGGTCCTCACATTTGCATAGCAAACACTTCACTAAGCTAACTCCCCCAACCCCATAGTCTAAGGATGGATGTCTGACAGTCTTTGAGTCCCAAAATCACCTCTCTGTGTCTTTCTGTCTCTGTCTCTATTTTTCTGTCTTTGTCTCTCTTGCCTCTGTCCCTCTCCCTGTCTCTTCCTGAGATAGAGTCTCATAGCGTAGTGCTGGTTAGCCTAGAGCTTACCATGTAGATCAGGCTGGCCTAAAAATCACAGAGAGTAGTGCTCATCCTTAATTCCACTGAGTGCTGGTATTAGATATGCACCACCACCCCTGACAAAAATCCACATGTTTAAGTGGATAAGAGACCATGAGTCCATGACATTGGTTGTGTGTCTCAGTCATTAAACTCAATGTACTTCTAAGGGACAATAGCCAAGGATAAGGGCAGAATCAGGATGTAGAAATTCCTCAAAACCCAAAACTTAGGACTAGCCTACTAGGATCCACTCATATTCCTCCTGGGACTTTTGGGTTCCTGCTGTAGCTTCTTAGAGTACAGGGTTACACTGGCCTTCCTTGTCACCTGTGCTTCCTCTTTGTAGGTCCTGTTCTAGATTCCTCTCCACCAGTCTTGAAGCCCCTTGTGTCTCCTTTCCCACCCTGGCAGTGAAGGGCTGAGACTTCATCCTAACATTCCCTTTGAGTCCCAAGGCTTGAGTGATCATGCAACCCTCACTCAGTATCACATGAGGAGGGACTAAGGCCTATGGGGACCCAGAGGGATCCAGAGTGTGGTGCCCCTGTGTCTGTCTATATGAGATCAGTTTCTGGCCCAAAGGGTCAAAGAAGAGTCTCCCTTTCCTCATATCAGAGCTAGAATTCCTTTCAGGATATACTTGAATAGACTTCAAACTGTACCACATATAACACCAAGGATGACACCATAAAGAGAATGAAGGTAGATGCTCCCCCACCCTTCTCTCTCCAATGCACAATCCCACTTTCGTGTTTTATAGCAGTGCACTTGTTTCTGTTTGCCCAGTGCTAACTTCTGGTCTTATGCATGCTAAGCAAGTGTTGTACCACTGAGATGTTACAGCCTTTATCAGACATCATGATGGGATTTCAAATTGGGCAAAGGTTTGTGCTGTTAAGAAACAGCTGGTCTAGGCATACAAGAGTTTGGCAGAGAAAAAGACTGAGGCTAAAGAAGAGATGGGACCAGTTGTGCCATCTCATGATTGTAATCCAAGCATTTTGGAGACTGAGGCAGGAAAATGGCCACAAGTTTAAGGGCATCCTACGTTGCCCAGGATGAAGCCTTCTAGGACCTCGGCTATCCCCAAAGACAGCTTCAGGATGGCTAGAGGCCCACAGCAAGTCCTATTCCACTGCATGGGTGTCCTGTAGGCTTGTAGTTGTCAGCACCAAGCCCCAAGAGAGGAAGTCCTACCAGGCTTGCTGACCTGGGCAAACCACAGGCCAGATGGGTCACCCCAAGTCCTGCTTTGAGCAGCACAGTGCTTCCTGTCTGAAGAACCCACTATTAGTCAGAAGTCCTCAAAACAGATGACATTTGAAAGATAGAAATAAATTGAAAGCATAGGCTGTATGAATATGGGGGCACTGAGGGCTCCTGACACCCCCAGAATAAAGTCTCCATCCCTTCATCTGGCCATAGACCTCCAAGGTCTGGCTCCAGTCTGTCACTTGTCCCCAGTGACTGCCCTCAGGGAGTACTGGCTGTAGTCAGGTTTCAGTGGTACCCAGGGCCTGCCCCAATGCAGGCTCCATTCACCTCCATGCCTCAAGTCACCCTGTGCCCTGCTCTGTCACCTCTTCTTTCCATGCGCACTGCTCTCTGAACACCACTTTTGACACCCCGACCTCCATGCCCCTCCAGATCTGTCTCTCCTCTTCCATCCCCAAACTTTATCTCCTTTGTAACAACATATACCGGTGGGTACCAGAGAACCTGAGTTTGATGGCCTGTTCTACCATATCTCCTTGGTGGCATTTCCCACTCACCAAATGAGTGCAATAAAAAGTCCAGCATCAGACAGATAGTACCTGAACTGAAGTGACAGGGCAGACATGAAAGTGCAGCCAACCTGATGGGAATGTACATGCAAAGGGCAGGTAACACTGTGACCAGGGCACAAAGCTTACAAGATTCTGCCTGCTCTCAAGGGTGAGTCTGCTCCTCCCTGGTGATTAATATGGGGAAGTTGTCATTCTGTGCATCTAGCTTCTCCTACTTTCTTCTGCTCCTGGAATCTTTCCCTCGGCTCTCCTGGGCCACACCATTCTCCCATGATGTGACCAGGGCTACTAAAGAAGAGGCCCCCCTGGTCCTCCCTATTGCAGTTTGTCCAAAAGAGATTATAAGATGAGTTGTGTGTGTGTTGCTAAAGTCTCTATTAGCTACATTCAAAGTCAATGTGATTTCTTTTAATAATAAATTTAAACTAGGCCTGGCATCACAGGTTTGTAATCCCAGCACTTAAGATGTTGAGGCAGGAGGATCAGGACTTTGAAGTCAGCTCTATGTGATGATAGCTCATGGCTGTTGTCCCAGCGCTCTGGGAGTTGAGGTAGGAGGGTAACCAGGAGTGTAAGACATGCAAGCTCTAGGCTAGCCTGAGTTACACAGTGAGATTCTGTTTTAAAAGGAGTTCAAGGTCACCTTCAGCCAACCTGGACCACCATGAGACATGTCTCAAAAAATAAAAACACATACATATTTTAGACACATTTCACTATGTCTAAAATATTCCAATTTGAGCACATAATAATATAAAGAGTTTATTCCTATAACTTGAAAATACAATATATATTTTATACTTGTGACATATTTTAGTTGGACTAGCCATATTTTAAGTGCTTAGTTACCACATGTGACTTGTGACTGCTGTCTTAGATAATGTGGCTGTGGCAGGCATGTCTAACCTATAGCCCAGAGGGCACTATAACACAGGATAGTGATGAATGCAACCCTCCACAAAACCTTGGGTCTTAATTGTACCACTTTGTAGCTGTGTGATGCCCATTCTTAGAGCATGTTTTTTTTTCAATTTGAAGAATTTCACAAAAGAAATAAATATCAAATCATTTTTATTAGATAGAATATAATTTTTCAAAGATTTTTCTAAACATTTATTTTAATACTAGTAAAAAATAGTAAAATACAAGCAGAACTCATGTATCTAATATGAATAGAAGACAGAAACAAAGCTGTCCTAATTAATCTTGCGAGAAGAAAAATTATGTGTTCTTGTATTAAAGGAGACATCAGTTATCGGTTATTAATAAGTAGATATCATTATGCGTGAATTCCTAATATCAAAATGATGCTTTATTTGGGCAGGCAAGGCAGGGGGAGTTTGGACAGGGGGTCTGTGATAGAGGTGGCCCATGGGTTCTGAAATAGGAAAGCAAGCATGAGACTCTCTTGAGAAACGAGACGTGAAGCTAGGGCACAGAGGCTCATGCCTAAAATCTTAGCACTCAGGAGCAGTGGCAAGAGGATCACTTTGCCACATTTTGAGGTCAGCCTGGTATACAAAGTGAGCCAGTCAGAGTTACATGGTAAGGCTGTGCTAGCTAGTCTTATGTCAACTTGATTAATGGAATTGTGGTGCCTCCTAACGAGGCACCAGAGCTCCCTTCCCTATCCCCCTGCCATCCCCGAAAAGGATCTCTCAGGCTGTGTGTCTTCCTAGGGTGAGGAGCTCTCCTCTCAGCATGAACCCTTAAAGAAAGAGACTGGATTGGCTCAGATTGCCCCGGACTTGACCATAGTCCAGTTTATCAAAGGTAAGTGAGCCCAGAAGAAAATGGAGGAAGGAAACAAGAGCTGCCTTTGAGATTATACTGAACATAGTCCCTTAAAGCTTGTCTTTATTAGTTAATCTGTATCTATGGTCTTCTCATGAGCCCAGACACTCCTAGTAAGGTTGGTCATGTACACCTCTCTGCTAGGAACATCTTTTCTTACTGATGTCCATCACAATCTTTCTTGTCTCTGCTGGTCATGTTCAAGAGCCCTTCTGTCCCCTGGGTATGCCTGGCTCCCACCAGCAACAAGGCTACATGCCACCGTCCTCTGGGCTCTCAGCATCCTTGGGGCTTCTGTCTCAGTTCTACCTTGTCTTTGCCTATCCTCTGCCATAGCAGGGAGCTCCTGGAGGTCAGAGTTTGTGTCCTTCACCCACTTCCCTCTAAGCCTGCCAGCAGGAAGCCTTGAGTAAATGCTCATTAAATCTCCAAGCTGCGGTATGGGTAGAAAGCCAGGGACCTGGTTTCTTGGTTCTTTGTCCTTGCTTCTCTGTGGGCCTTGGTTTTCCAGGACAATTTCTCAGTACGGTAAGAAATAGACTCACTGACAGAAACGTCATGCTACCCTGATCCTGACACAAGAAAATCAATCAGTCGGTTACCTGAGCTCACAGTGGGACCAAGCAGCATTTTCTAAAGAACTCGACCCTGTGGACATTGATTGAGTGCCTGCTATGTGCCAGGCATGTCAAAAAGCCCTGATGTTAGGCCGACCAGCCACTGGTCAGTGAGTTCTTTTCTATCTCTAACCTGAGTTTCCTCATGTAAAGATTAGGTTGGTGATATTTGCTTTGCCTTTCTCAAGGCAACCCTTGTGTGACTGTCAAGTAGGATGAGGTATGGACAGATGGCACTGTCTACTATTTTAAAAACTGCCCATGTAAGGTATGGTCTGTCCTATGAGCACATCTACCTTGCTGTTCTTATCCATGCCTGAACAGAAAGTGGATTGCTGTGGTTTCGGAAGGTGTTATCCAAGGGGACCCTTCACCTTTCACCAAAGACATTTGGAGCAAGAAAGAATTGTACCAAATTCTTTGCCAGTTTTCTAAGATTTGATGTTGAGTTATCTGAAGAAGGGACTGTCTGAATGGGGCTGGGCCTAGAGACAGTGGCCTGCGCTGCTGATTTCTGTCACCCCCTGCTGGAAAGCCTCAGCACACTATACCATGGAAGAACGTATGAATCACTGCTTTGCCTTCAGCACAGCTGGGCCTGGCTGTGCAAGCTAAATCTTAGAGCTGGTGGTCTAGGCCAGTTCTTCTCTGGATCATTCAGCTTCTAGAGGAGCCTTATAGAAGTCAGAAACGGGCCTATCCGTAGGCCCTGTGACTGGTTAGCAACTTGGACAGCAAGGCTCTACATGGGCCATTCTGACTCCAGGGTCTGGATTTGACCATCTCCAATCATGGGGGAGGCAGAAGGAGAAGAAACTCTTGGAGAAGACAATCCCTGGCTGGGGAAGTTACATGATGTGGAAGACACATTCTCTTACAGTCTGCAAATGGAGGGGGAAGCTGTCTGATGGAAGAGACCTGACTAGGATGCTAGAGGAGGACCTTGTCTGGTGGGCACGGTATGGTCCAGGAGTTAGGAGAGGCCTTTGACTTGAGGGAGGAAACAGCACTAAACTAAGGGCACACTGGTTCTGTTTAAGGCCAGTGCCTAGCCTATGAGCTAGAAAGGCTGATGAGGGAGACAGCCATCACTGGGTTGAGGGAGGTACTGGCATGTCTGCTGTGGAGACCTTGTGCTGAGTGAGGGAAGCCCTTTCTTAAGAGGAGGTTGAGTGGGAGACAGGCCCTGGAATTCCCCTTCAGGTAGCTAATGGAAAAGCATGGCCCTGACCTCCAGGAATTTTCCATCCCTTGTGGAGAAGGCTGTGGCTGCTGAGGAGAGATGGGGGATGGGCTTACAGTCCACGGCATAGATGAGTACAGCACAGTGAGCAGAATGGAGGAGTCCTCCAGAGCCAGGCAGCTGGAAAGAACAGGAACAGAGTGGGAGGGCAGAAGGGAGAGTGGTTCTGTGCTAGAAGTGAGGAGAGCAAGAGGTACCCTGTGAAAAGTTTCTGCATCCATAAGCCTCTCTAGTGGCACAGCAATGCAAATCAGACCAAGTCAAACCGAATCAAAAGTCATGTTTAATGGATACAATGCTCCTGAATGATTTTCCAGCCCCCCACCTCCCAGAGAGGAGACAGGAAAGAGAGACCAGAAAGCCATGAGTCTGTTTTCTGGGGGACAGTTTAAATACCCTGTGGGAGTGGTCTTGAGCAGCTCTGGGGGAGGGGTCATCATTTGGCAGGCTTTCTGAGATGAGGCAGGGTTTAGAGAGAGAGATGGAGGAAAGGGTTTTCCACCAGAACATTCCAGACTCTTTGGGGCTGGGGTGAAGCTTCCACCAGGCTTGCTCTGAGCAAACCTGAGTGTGTCCCTGCCTCTCTCTGGGGGCCCACCTTGCAGTGAAGGCCAGGTGATATAAACATCTCTCAGTTCATATGGAACTTCAGATGCCCTGGGCAACTCTCTGGAGGAGAGAAGGGAGGAAGGGAGTTCAGGAGGAGGGAGACAGCAAAAGGGAGGGGAAGAGGAAAGGGGCTGCAGCAGCTACCTGGAGGCCACCTACCCCATTCCAAATGCTAGCTGAATATGCAGTTTGGAGGCAGGGGACTAGGGACTTAAAGGAGGACACATTCCAGTGTTAGCCCCTACTCACTCCTCCTGGGCTGATTTTATTTTCTGTCTCTGAAGGAAACAGGTACAGGCCATGAGGATAGGGACTAGGCTACTTGGACTATGCTCTGAAGACAAATAGAACGTGCCCTCTATAACACAAGGACAAAGGCTCTGGTATGACAGGAATAGACCTTCTCATATGACCCTCATGGCTTTGTCTCTCCTCACCAGCACACCCTGGTCTCTCTTCTCCTCTTCCCCACACTTTGTCTAACAGTGGAGAAACCCATGCATCAGAACAGAAAGTGACTTTGGACATCTCTGAACACCCTACTTGCCAGGACACTGAACCCAGGAGGAAAGGGATTTACCTGCCATTAGCACTTGCAGGGTGGGCAGCCTGACTGAGACACCAAGGCAGGATTCAGGAGCTACCCAGAGCCTGGTGAGGTCCCCAATTCCAAAACAGCAGTAACCACTGCCTGTTTCCAGGCTGGTGTTGTGGCCACACCCTACCTGGAATTTCTCTCCAAGTCCCCTCATTCTCTAGGTCCTAGCTATGTCCTCCATCCAGGAAGCCTCCTGGCCCAAGGCTGCCCAGGATTCCCTTTCTCTGGAGGCCTGAGATTCTGCCTCAGGCATTTGGACATTTGATCTGGTCCTCATTCATTAAGCAGTATTTACAAAATGACTGGTGTGTCCTGGGCTCTAGAGATAAAGCAATTGATACCGTAAAAATTATTACTCTTAAATAAAATGGGGGTGAGGTGGCAATAAAGCAGCTAAATGAATAAAATGCGTAATCTCTTAGGTTTGCTCTTGGGGAAACACACACTAGCTATCAGTACTCTTGGGGAAACACACACTAGCTATCAGACATCAGGGCAGCAGTGGGCATGTAATCTCTTAGGTTTGCTCTTGGGGAAACACACACTAGCTATCAGACATCAGGGCAGCAGTGGGCACCTGAGTTGAGGACCAAGAAGGGAGAACCCAAGTCCGGGTTGGCATGGAAAGTGTAGGACAAGATGGAAAGGGCCTGTGGGAGTATGGGAAAGGGAGAACAATTCAATAGAAATAGGAAAAATCTGAAGTGAGACGGGGTGAATGACATAGACTCAAATGAGATGGCATGAAATAGAACTATATTGAACCCAACAGAAGTGAACAGAAATAAACGTGTTAAATAAGCCCCCAGGTGACTCAATGAAGAGAAGAATTTCAAAGTCGGAGGAGGTGGAAAGGAGCCAAGTGTAACGGGATAGCCTGGGATTCACTAGAACACTGGAAGGAAATGGTGTGGCTGGCTGCCCGTGCTGACCTCCTCCCCCTTGTCCCAACAGTCTTCCCCAGGGTGCTGCTGAGGATGCTGCGCCATCCCATCTTCTTGCTGGTAGTCCTGTCCCAGGTGTGCACCTCATCCATGGTGGCAGGCCTGGCTATCTTCCTGCCTAAGTTCCTGGAGCGCCAGTTTTCCATCACAGCCTCCTTTGCCAACCTGCTCCTTGGCAGCCTCACTATCCCCTTGTCCATTGTGGGCATCGTGTTAGGAGGTGTCCTGGTCAAGCGTCTCCACCTGAGCCCTGTGCAGTGCAGCCTCCTCTGCCTGCTGGGGTCGCTGCTGTGTCTGCTGCTCACCTTGCCACTCTTCTTCATTGGCTGCTCTACTCATCATATTGCAGGCATCACCCGGGGCCTGGGGTGAGTAGGCACTCGCATGGGAAGGTGCATGCTGAGGGTAGTCAGTGAGCCACTTACCCCTGTCACCTCCCCTGGGGCACTGTCTCCTCCCAGTGCTTACAAAGCTCTATGCATGCCTCTCCTTGGACTCGGGTACAAGCACGCTGTGGTCACAGGATGACATCAAATGCCGTAGCAGAGGCATGGGTGGAACATCAGGGGCAGAAGATCTGATGTTCCTGGGAAGGGCCAGAGATGGAGTCAGAGTACAGTCACCCATGGGATGGCATTTCCAGGGAGGCCAAGACCTGTGGGCCAGCAGAGTGGGATAGAAGCCAGGCATAGGAGGCAGGACCTAGCGTAGCCTGAGGGAGGTTTTTGTTCCCCGCTGAAGTTACATCTGCCCAAGAGAGACAAGCTCCATGCCTTGGAGAAAGGGTGAGCAGGGAGCTGGGCAGTCCTTCTCCAGGAGCAGAAGAGGTTAAGAAACCCTGACTCTTACTATGATGACCTCATTTTCCCTGGAAGCTGTTTGAGCTTAGTTTGGCCCAGCACCCAGCTAGAATTCTCCAACTTTTTTCTACTTGGCACAGCCTCCCTTACTCAAGTGCCAGGTTCCCTCACCTGGACTCTTACACATGACTGTGGACTCAGCTTGAAGCCAAGGCACCATAGGCCCTATCCTTATTGCTTTTCTCCCTTCTTTCTCCTTCCCCTCTCCTTTTCCCAAACAGCCAGGCTGTCTGGAGTAGGGGCCTTCCATATGCAGAGGGCCCGAAGCCAGGCCCTCAGGAAGCCCCAGTCTGAGCAAGCACCAGGTCCTCCCAATGACATTTCAAGTGAGAAGTCAATGGATATTTTACCAACACTTTACAAGTCAGTAGGGAAGGCAATAGAACAATGATAGAACCCATTAATGAGAGTTCATGGGGACTCAATGAAACATACAAGGGAAGCCTTGAGCCTGCCAGGTGTATAAGAGACCTTGGCTCTGGGCAGATGTCCATGATGCTAGTTGTACAGGAACTAGCTCACTCAATTGGTCTCAGACCATGCTGCCTGGCTATGTTTTCTTCCTTCTCCTCCTCCTCTCCCTCAGCTCTGACATGGCATTCCACTCATAGTCTCACCAAAGTTCTTATAAGTTAATTCATAGGTTCTGGGTTCTAATTCACTGAAGCTTTCAGAGTGTCCCTCTTAGGTTCCATTGAGTCTCCATGTTATCTCTATCATGAATTCTATTGTTATACCCACTTTAGTGATGATGCAGTGTCACCTGGCAAGGGTGCTGCGTTTCCTCCTAGCATGAAGCCAGGTCACAGCCTATGCCCCAAAGCCTTCCTCTTGCCCCCCACCCAAGAGAGATCACCCCTTCAGACTTGGGGCTTCTCTCTTCGGGCTTCTGCTCCTGTCCACCATCTCAATTCTTCAGCTAGGGCAAGGGCACACCTAGGATCTTGGAGTAGGTCCTGTGGTGGTGGCAAGTGACACAGTGAGCACAACAGGGGGATGAACTCAGAGGCTGTGAGATTTCAGGACGTGACAGTGAGAAGGGAGCCCCAGTCCAGCTAATAGAGAAATGACGGTCCCAGAGGAAAGTAACCACAGGTTGGAGGCCCCATAGCTGGTTGGTCTTCTCGCAGGGCCCCATCACAGCTGTGCTTTGCTGAGACAAGGAAGCAATTCAGCCTGTAGAGAGAATGGCCCCTTTATCTGACACTCACTTCTGAGAGGAATTTCTCTTGTGTTCCATCCAAACACAAGGATATTTGCAGAAGCTTCCAGACATGTAGAATCCAGGATTGGAAGGGCACACCACAGACTCTGGTCCAGACTCCTCCTCACGCCCCCCCCATTAGAAAGTCCCCTGAGTTTCAGTGTCTTCCTCAGGGAAAAGCTGCAGATGAAATTGCTGGCCACTGCTCTCAGAGCAGGAGCCAGACTGCAGAGAGAGTCCTGAGAGAAAAGATCCCTGCCAAACACATTTGCCTTCTCTCTGTCTAGTGCCCAGCCAGGGCCAAGCCTGTTTCCTGGCTGCTCAGAGCCCTGCTCCTGCCAACCGAATGACTTTAACCCTGTTTGCGACACCAGTGCTCGCGTGGAGTACATCACACCCTGCCATGCAGGCTGTACAGGTCATGTGGTCCAGGAAGTTCTGGGCAAAAGACAGGTAAGGCCAACCTCCCACCCAACCTCTGCCTCCACACACCCCCACCCCGTCCCAGTCTCCGCTGCCTATCATTCCACTCTCTCTTGCTTTCTCTCTCTTCCCTCTGTCATTTTGCCTTGTTCCTCTGCTTTGGCAGGTCCAGAGCATCACTCTCCCAGTAAGTTTCATTGCCAGCCTGGGGTCGGGGAGGGGAGCCAGAGTTGGCTCCCAGCAGCTGGTCTACTCAAGGAAATGAACCACAGAGATTTCAGGTTGCAGGTGGGCAGAAGTGGTCCCCACTAGCACATACAAGAGTAGAGGGGACACAACCCACCTGGGAATGTCCCAGAGGGCTCCAAAAGAAACAGCATCTGTGACAGATCTTCCAGGGTCATTAGGCAAACAAGGACTTGGGATGGGAAGACTAGACAGGGACAACAGCTAAGAAGAGGTTTGAAGAACATATATTGTGTGTTCTGGACTCCAGGCTCTGCACTGAATGGCTTATCCTGGTGAGCTCACTAACAAGGAAGCAAAGAGACACGGTGCCTTAGAGATGTAAAGCACTCACTTTTATTCTGCTCATTGTACAGATAGGAAATGAAGGCCTGGAAAAGGACCAGGCAGTGCCCAGAGTCTTATACCAGAGCTGGATCTAGAATCCAGGTCTCTAGCCCCCAGCCCAAGCTGCACTGGATCCAGAGGTAGGGGTCTGGATGCACCACGTGGAGGAGGGACAGGTACGTCTTTCCATCCAGGGATTATCTCTTGCCACGTGTATGTGTACTTCCTTGGTTCAGCACAAGAACCTGGGATCTGGGATGAGCTGGTCTAGCTGAGGTGCACTCAGGTAGGTGACAGAGTGAGATGGGCAAAGGTAACACTGACTGGACCTCAGGCTTATAAGGTAAAACCAGCACTGTGGGAAAGACTGGAGACATCTGTGAGAACTTCCCATGGACATTGATGCCTATGAGGGAAGCCTGGGGAAGAATCTAGAGGCAAAGTGCCCAGCTTTGGTGTCCATCCCAGCTGGCTTCCCAAGCAAAGAAGCAGTGTGGGGGCTACCATACCAATCTCTTGCTTTGGCATGTTTCTCCACGACCTGGCTCCAGGGATCTCCAGTCCAGTGGGTTACTTGGCATGTAACTGGAGACCAAAGGCCACTTTTTAGTAATATGAAGTGATTAGGGCTTAGGGTTCTGGCAGTACAGCCTGGTCATGCTTATCAGCACTGCACAGCAGTGGGCAGATATCTTGGATAGGCAGCAATCCAGTTCCCATCTTACCTCTCATCAGTCATTAAGTCTATCTCCTAAATAACTCCACCTTAAAATTCTTTCCACATACACCCTGACAATGGGATCTTCTGCTTGCTCATCCAGTCCATCCCAGGAGCCACTGATCCTTCCAAGGCCCCTAGATAACACCTTGGGTTTCTCAGCCCTTCTCATACTGAGAATTATCCAAGGCTTCTGTAGTAAGAAATAGGAAGCCTGGGAGTTCCAGGTATCCTAGCCAGCAATACCATCTTTGAGAACTGATGGGACCAATCCCTGCACACCTGACTGGGGTCCCTGGTATCTGTGATCCATCTGTCAAAAAGGTCTGACCTGGTGCTGCAAAGATGTTTCAATGGTTAAAAGTGTATTGCTCTTGCAGGGGACCTGAGTTCAGTTCCCAGTATCTATGACCAGTAGTTTACAACTGTCTGTAATTCTTCCCCAGGGGATCTAACACCCTCTTCTGGTCTCCATGGGTACACACACACACACACACACACACACACACACACACACACACACACACACACGTAAGTAAACAAACACATAGACACTCTGACCAATAGGAAAGGGAAAGGAAAAAGAAGCCCCAGCCTTGCTCCTTACAGGCACCCAAGTGGCACTGGTGATCAGACCACTTCTTAGCTTATCCCCAGCTGGAGGTTCTCCAGGCTGCCATCAAACACACCAGGGCTCACCTAGACAGTATCTGCCTCACAGCTGTGGCCCAGTCTAAGCACATCAGTCTGCCTCCAGGCACCTTACTTGACTCAAGTGATCACAGATCAACTGATGGACAGAGTCTGGGACTCCAGCCAGCTCTGCCCTGCTGGCTGTTGACACTTGGGAGCTTCCCAGGCCCTAGGCCCTTGGCCAGCTGCTGCTGTCAGAGGCTGCTGAAGGTCCATCTCCTCCTGCTCCTTACTCCAGGTTTTCTACACCAACTGCAGTTGTGTGGCAGGGGATGGAGCAGTGTCTGCAGGTTCCTGCGATTCAGCCTGCAGCAACCTGATTCTGCCCTTCATTCTCCTGATCAGCCTGGGGGTGGCAGTGGCCAGCATCACCCACACACCTTCCTTCATGCTCATCTTAAGGTGAGAGCAGGGCAGGCAGGGTGGGTACCAGGAAACCTTTCACAGTCAGTATGGGACATTCAAAGGAAGAGTTGAAAGAATGAGGCCACTCAAATGTCCTAGCTAGCTCCTCACTGTCCTGTCTTCATTCCCCTGGCAGCCCAAGGACATGAAGCTTTCTCTTCATCTTGCAGACAAGGAGACTAGGCTCAGGAAAGTTCAGGATCTGGGAGCTAGTTTTATAGCCTAGCTGTTTCCTTGTTTGAGGGTAGAAGAGGCCCCAGACACTGACCTGGCCTTCCTGAGGAGGGCACCCTATGGGGAAGAAGAGGTGGATCTAACCTCTTGCAGTGGTGGGACACAGAGGGATGTCTAGGGAACCAACTGAATCCCCATGGGCTGGTCCTGCACACCCCTCATGGCCCTAAACATGCAATGAAGGCCTGCTGTGGACCCAGGACCCACAGGGTGCTGCTTCTGAGATCTTCCTGTCCCTTGTCCTGAGAGTGCCATGGGACTAGCAAATTGACATCTATGGTAGTCCCTGGGTAGGGGTTGGGACAAGGAGACCTGAGAACAAGATAATTCTGTTGTCACTCTGCTGGGACTTTTCTCCTAGCTATCGACAGTCTAAGAGATTAGAAAGAAATATTAGGTTCCGAGTGTGGTGGCACATGACTTTAATCCCAGCCCTCAGGAGGCAAAGGCAGGTGGATCTCTGTGAGTTCAAGGTCTGCCTATCTATAGAGTAAGTTCTAGGGCAGCCAGAGCTACACAAAAAGACCTGTCTCAAAAGAATGAGAAAAAGAAGAAAGAAAAGAATAGTAGAAGATAGAAGGTCCATAGAGCAGGCTGGTGTAAGAGAGAACGTAGAGGGAGCAGATGCTTGCAGGGAGCTGAGCATGCAGGCTGGTCTGACTCAAGTCCTGGCTCTAACCTCCACAGCTGTCAACCCCCTTATCTGCAGAATAGGACTGTGACATGCCCACCTCCCGGGGATGCAATGAGCTGAGTATAGAATCCCCGAGTTACAGGGAGCACCCCCTAAGTGTCGGCTGTGGGCATTGTTTAGAAGCCAGATGTCACTTGATATCCCAGGCCAAAGGGTTACAGTGCTGGGAAAACTGGACCTGGTGCATAGCTGTCCCAGGATCAGGTCTCTCAGTGGAAAATCAGTGGGACTGTGGGATGGAGGTGACTACAGTGGTGTCTGTGAGCCTGGCAGTTGGTATGTGGACCTAAGATGCAGGGAACTGGGCTCTGTAGGTTGAGGAGTGACAGGTGTAGACTCTGAGCTTCCCCCACCACCCTGATCTTCAGCCTGGCAGGGGAGATTGGCATGGAGGGTGGAACCCACCTATGGAAGCCTGCTGCTTCATGGTGCTGGGGCTGAGTCTCCGTCTATCCTCACACAACCATGTCTTTCTTGGTAGGGGAGTGAAGAAAGAAGATAAGATCCTGGCAGTGGGAATGCAGTTCATGCTCCTGAGAGTACTGGGTAAAGAGCTTGCCTGGGGACCTTGGTGGTGGTGATGGGCATCCAGATGTCTGCCAGACCTGGAAGATACAGGCCTGAGTGAAACCTTAGGGCTCCTTTGTGTGTGGGATAAGAAAACCTGACCATGTGTTTGAAAGTGTTATGCCTTGGCTGCACCAAGTCTGATGGAGGCTTCCTCCAGATACATACTAAAGGATGGTGGAGGCCAAAGACTCCTGAGCCAAGAGACCTATCACCCTTGTGGCTTGCATGTGCTGAAGGTGAGGGCTAGGGCATGGTGACCCTCTGCTATCCCCTGAGCCTCTCTTTCCTTAGCCTGGATGCCCAGCCCTGTGATCCATGGCAGTGCCATCGATACCACCTGTGTGCACTGGGCCCTGAGCTGTGGGTGGCAAGCCGTTTGTCGCTATTATGACCATGACCTGCTCCGAAGACGGTAAGCACCAGGGTGGGGAAGCCCCATGTCAGGAGACACCCACCCTGCAAACCAGAGGCTACCTCTAAGAGAGGACTCATATACCTGGTCTGGAACTCCCAATATAATTGAAGCTGGCCTTGAATCTTCATGCCTCTGCCTCCCAAATACTGGGAATGCAGGCATGTGCCACTAAGCCCTGGATTTTTTGTTTTGTCCTCATTCTATGCCCAGGCTGTTCATGAACTGACTAGGTCAGTCAAAGTGGCCTTGAACTTATAGCAATTCTCCTGCTTCAGGATTTTGAGTGCTGGGATTTTTTACGTGAGCTACTACACCTGGTTAGCTCCCCTTATTATATGTGAGCAAAATATCAGCTAGAGTAAGAGATCCCAGACTCTTATGACAGAGTCACCTCTAAGTCATCAAGCAGTCTCATCCTAAGGGAAAGAGACCTGACCCCTCCTCTGGGGCTCAGACTTTCTATCTGTACAATGGAAAGCTCAGAGAAGCCCAAAGGTGTGGGTATCATAGGCTGTGTGGATGTCGAAGAACTTGCAACAAAGCAAGGGCCAGCCAGGGAGTAGTCACCTCTAGCTCTTAGGTACAGAACACAGTTCCCTCAGGCTAGGACTGTCTAGGGAGGCTTTACCAAACAGGGGCCTTCAAGAGTTGAGTAGGAGAGGCCTAGCCTGGGTCTTACTTCTGTCAGTGCAAAGCAAGAGGGATGTTTAGTCTCACCCCGCACACCAGCCCCTGCCCAGCTTCCCCGGTCTCCAGGCCTCAGTGTCTTAACTGTACCACGTCTACTGACTCTACCATTGCCACCCTGAAGCTAAAACTAGTCCCTGAAGAGTGGGTCCTGAGTTCAAGGTTCCTCCCTCTTCCCTCAGATTCATAGGCCTCCAGTTCTTCTTCAAAAGTGGATCCCTGGTGTGCTTTGCCTTAGTTTTGGCCATCTTGAGGCAGCAGAACAAAGAGGCCAGCATGAAGGTCATTGTGAAGAGCTCTGACCTACAGCAACAACTTTAAGCATCAGGACCAGAGAAGAAATTCAAGGATTCCAGGAGGTCAACAGCCCCAGCCTCACCCTGGCCAGGTGTGGCAGCCACAGCCATGCATTTTCTGAGCCCTTTGCCCAAGATGGGGTGTCAGAAGTGCCATGTTCCAATCCTGGCTCCTCTGCTAAATTGTGAAGTGACTCTGAACAAGCTTCTGGCTTTGCTTGCTCTTTGGAACCAAGGAGTTGTTGTATTGGTCATTTCTCAAGCAACAGGGTTGTCCTTGTTCCTTCCTCAGCCAAACAACCAAGGACTAAGCTTTGTTGCTGGGGAGGAATTGTCCAGCATCCCCCAGCCCCTTCTAGGATAGGAAGGTAGGCCAACTCCACACAGAGCCTCAACCCAGCTCTGCCACTTATGGAGACCCACCATTTCCAAGTTTAAGTAGGAAGGGATTCCAGCTCTCAGGCTCAGGCTCCAGCTGTGCACATCTGTGAAGGCCTCCTCCCCAAGCCCAGCCAGCCTTCAAGAAGTGTCTATTTGGAGCCCCCTGGAGGCAGAGTCCAGAGATTAAGGAGCATCCCAAGAGCAGGAAGAAATAGGACACCATATTTGATGAGGTGTGTGGTCAGAGCCTTAGCTGGAGAGGGGTTATCTGACCCAGAATGTCACAGCTTTTATCTTCAGGGAGTCACAATTGGGAAAAGGAAGGTCTATCCTTTCTTTTAGAGGTCTTGTAACTTCAGAGACCAGTTTATATTCAGAGTTGCTCCTACTAAATGTCTGTTATCAGGATCTCAGGATCACATTTGACCAGGCGCCACCAAAGTCACTGTGGCTTTGGGGAACAGAATCCTAGACCATGTCCCCGGGGTTTTGGAGCTAATGCCTGATTCTGCGATAACCAAGTCAGGTTGACCTCTTGTTCTCTGAGATCCCCGGATCAGTGTGAGGTGAAGGGGAAGAGAAGAGCAAAGTCCAGCTCTGCACAGTGACCTATGGTGCAGCATGCTTGGGTCAGAGTCCCTGAAATCCCCAATTCTTTTCCAAGTCAGACCTTGTCTGGCTTTCTGGCCAGTCTTATCTGGCCTAGCTACTTCCAGGCAGCAGAAGAGCAAGCCCTGATCTGCTCCCAGCCCAAGCTATTGACAGCACACACTCCACCCATATGACCACAAAGACAGGGAAGAAGGAGCTAGCAGCAGTCTTTACCCTGTGTGCCTAGCTCTTAGCTAAGGGATAAGGCACTTGTCTCCTGTGCAGAAGAAGGAGCTATAGAAGCCCTCATCCCTGCCAGGAATCATGGCACACATCTGTGACCCAGCACTGGGGAACAAGATCAGGAGTTCAAGGCCTATCTCAGGTACATAGTGAGTTTGAGTCTAACCTGGGCTACATGAGAGTGTCTCAAAAAATCTAAAAGGAATAAAGAGAAATAAAGAGGAAAAGAGGAGAAAAAAGAGGAGGAAGAGGAGAAAAAAGATGAAGAGGCTAGTCGCTATTTTACCCTGCTTAACCAGTACCAGAGCCTACACTAATCAGTGCCAAGAATTTTGAAGTGTCTTCCACCAAGACAAGTCTGTTAGCAGGTTTTTCATTCTGTCTTTTCTCCTGCTCCCCAGGTTGTACAGGAATAACCTGGCTGTATACACACAGCTTATTATTAAATTTGTCTTTGCATAATGCCTCTTCCAAGACAAAAATTTATCCTTCTAAACTGCATTAGAGGTTTGCGTCAGCCATGTCGCTTCCAGTTATTTAGATTTCAGCCCCACCGAGTTTATTCACTCTGGCATCTTGTATTGTTTCCTCTTTTATATTCTGGTCTAATTTTTCCTTTGACTGGTTTATTTCCTCCAGTAATGGTTCCAAAAATGGAATACAATCATGAGGCTGTCCTTACCTGTCTCCATCGTCACTCACATTTTACAGAAGAGAAATTGCCTCAGAAAGGTTAAGTGACTTGCTTGGGGCTATAATAACACATATATAACCATATGATTATATGTGTATGCACATACATGCATAAGCTGGATCCAGATTTGTGGGAACCAAAGGTAACACAACTCAAAAGAGTTATTTTTATGAAAGGAAGAATGCAAAATAATGAATGCAGCTTTACTATGTAGATACATTTCAAAGTGCCTGAGAACACAAGTATTTTAGATTTGAAATCTTTTTGTATTTTGAAATATTTGTACTATTATCATTTGATCTCTCAGGAATGAGACCCCAATCTAAACACAAATTCATCTGGGTTTCATGCACACCTTATCCACACAGCCTGAGAGTCATTTTATGCAATACATTTAGTATTCCTGTGTGTGATGAAATCAGGTCTGAAATATTCCAAAAGTGTGGTTACACTGGCACTCGGGAAGTTTGAGTGTTAGAGCCTTCCAGACAGTGGGTTTCATGTTGGGAAGTCAGCCTTTACAAAATTAGATATGAAAGTAAACACCCAGAATGAGAAAACAAAAAACCCACTCCATCCAGAAAATGGCATATTGTTAAAAATTAAATAATTACCGCATACCTGTAATCCATCTAGACACGCCTTCATGGTTCTCCACAGACTGGCTCTAGCTCTGTACATTTTCTTATTTCTCCACTTCTTCCTCCACTCCTTTTATGTTTCCAGGGCCACAAGCCACAAACAGAAGCCACGACCTCAGTGTTTGCCTCCTCGATATCATAATGCCAAATGAGGTGGGTAGTGGCTGGGAAGTTCCCCAGAAGCCATTCTTTATGATAGCAGAGATGGCTACAGTGACTTCCCTAGGCATAGCAGTAACTGAGGTGGATATAAGCACATCTCGGGGACCCCCAACTCCTTGACTAGATCCTAGAAACCAGAAGCCACTTGCTGAGCCACAAGGGAAATGGAAATGGTACAAGTGTCTCCCTTTAGCAAGTTTCCCACTCTGAGAATAAGCAGCATTCCTGAAGTGCCTCACTGGGCCTGAGGAGTGGCCCAAATGCCCTCCAAGCATTCACCTCCCTGGAAGCTGGTCTCTGGGGGAACTGGGGATGGAAATGAAGCCTTCATCCCACTGCAGGAGCTGGCCCTTGGGAAATCTGAGAGCTGGGGACCACACCTTTGTCCATGAGTTTGAACTCTTCTGCTGGTCAGGTGAGAAGGCTTAGGCATCCCTGCAAGAGAGATGTGCAGCCACCTGCCAAGAATAAAGCAAAGAAGGTAAAAGATGTTTCTCTAAACTGTGAGAGAAAATGTGTACACACAAACACACAAGTATAATCACACATGCATGCACATGGCACACACACACATGCTCACAAATAGATGAATACACATCCATTTGCACTGATCCATACCTCCTAACACACATGCACACATGCATACAGCCAAATGCACAAGAATGCAAACATGTATGCATACACAGAAACATAAAAACCCACACAAGCACCGTTGTACCAACTTAGTAATTTGTATCCACTTACAGAATATAATTCATATGGTCATGTGCAGTGCACACGTGCTCACATGCTCATTCACATATGTGGCCACACACAGACACAGATTCTCACACACATGCATACACTCACAAAACACAAACATGAACATACACAGAAGCTGCACATTCTCACACATGTGTGTACATGCACACACATGCCCACACATACTCCATACGCTCACATGCACACTTGCAGACACCCACGGTCTCACAATACATACAGACACTCATGCATGTACACTCATGCACACACCAACTCACACTTAAAGTGAAATGCATACATATTCATGCACATATGCAGACACTATATACAACAGACACACACAAGAATGCAGACTCACATGTCCACACACATGCATACACACAGGCATACATGCAAATCCACACATGTATACACATGCACACCCACGAACTCATGTCCCAGAGTCTAAGAAACACATAAACACACACCTAGTCTCCCATCAACGAAGAGCCATGAGCATCTATCTGCATCTGTGAGCCACTGTCTCTCTACCCTGCACCGAACTCATGTCCCAGGGTCTAAGAAACACATAAACACACACCTAGTCTCCCATCAACGAAGAACCATGAGCATCTATCTGCATCTGTGAGCCACTGTCTCTCTACCCTGCACCAGGCTCTGCCCTGCTTCACTGTTGGTGAAGGCTCAGCAGCAGATGGGACAGGCACCAGAAATAGCATCTCAGTGCCTGCCTTTCAGTTCCTTTTACTTGGAGAAGCTGGAAAGCTCTGGGGCAGGCAGATGCCCCTGGGGACCTGGCTCAAGGAGCCACGGTGTTCACTACATGATCACCATCCATTACCTGCACAGGCTGAACATTTCCCCTGCATCGGTCAGCTGCCCCCTTGTCCCTCTCTCCACCCCTCTCATGAAATCCTATCCTCCATCAAGGCCCAGTTCAAAAGCCTCTACCTCCAGGGAGGCAGTATGACATGACAGTGCAGGGGCAAGCGGAGGAAGTCGCCTCATTAAAGACATAAACGACATTTAAAAATAAAGTTATAAACCAAACCAGGTGTGGGGTGCATGCCTGTAATCCTACGATTCAGGAGACAGAGTCAAGAAGATGGTGAGTGTGAGCACAGCCTGGCCTACAAAGTGAAACTTTGTCATAAAATCCAAAACAAAATTCACCAGCACTCCCCTCCCCACACACATCCAAAGATGCACGACTGTGTGTGGTTTCATAGGTAGGGGGCCCTCTAAAGCCCGGTACAATCTTCCTAAGAGGCCAGTATCTCAGCTCAAAGACCTTCATGTTGGAGCTGCAGAGACTTCAGACTTAAGTTCAGAACTGTAGACCCCCATGTAGTCACAGCGGGACCCTGAAGGACTGGCCACATCCTCTGCACCCAGCTCCTTACCTGTAAGGCAGGTAGATCCGCCCTGTCCCCAGGATTGTGGAGAAAGGTAAGGAACCATCCTGGTATCACAGACTCACACCTGATGATTTGTAGTTTCCTTCCCTTCTCCTGTCTCTGACAGGATTTAATCAGCACCTGGAGCGGGAGGGGCAGAGTAGACCGGAGGTTC